GGACGAGTGCCCTCGCATGCTTCCAGAGAAAGGGTTGTACTGTAAAAAAATGTTATGGCAGCGGTCAATCATTTCGCAAACCCCATTGCCACCTGCAATCATTGATCCTCAACAACGATGTTCCTGAAAATTTCGTGTTGCGGGTGGACCCGGATTATTCGTCCGAACAGTAATCGATCTTCATTTTGAGCAGAAAAGTTTTAATTTTATCGAGATCTTCCCTCAATTTGGTTTGTAACTCGAAAATTCTGAACAGAACGAAAATATGCAGGCTTGGAGGTCAGGCAGAGGAAAATCTAATCATGGCTATACTCCCCACCCTAAGCAGACTACTTAGTCTCAGTTGAATTTGGTAAGTTCTATCGTAGATGCTTCATGGATACTCAAATAACAGCTCAAGGATGGCGTTCATGTAGATGGTCACTCAGTCACAACTCTCACATGTGTAAGCTAATTTCATAACAGCCTTTGTCAGATGAAGCCTGTAGTGATATTTCTGACAAAGGTTGAGATAGAGTTTCAGTTGCCATTTCCAAATGAATACAAAAGACCTATGACGCTCTTCATTGACTCTTTTATCATGTGACCCTTTCAGACTTTATAAACTATTTGGGCTGATTAAATACAGTTCGCATAGGAGTGAGAGACGGTCTCATTGTGAAGTGGGAAAGCCCCAAAGAAAAAGCAGAGCATCATGTGTTATAAAAGCCTTGCCAACATTGCAGACATGTGTCATTCAGTTCGCTTTCCCAAATGGGGATTTCCAATGGCCTCACAATTTATTAGCTTAGTGCCGTTATAAATTTCATTGTTCGACCCTTGTGGCATTTTCTCTCCTGTTCTTCTAAGGTTGACTGTCACTCACACTAAACAAAATGCTCTCTCTTCTTCTGCAGCTGGCGATGCTTCCTGGGAACGTCGAGCTGAATTGCTAAACCTATTTCTTCTTCCCACAGGATCAATAACAACCTCTCAATCATGGGCAGGCATAATGAGAGGGCTTAAGGGGCCAAGCGACAGTTAAGAAGTAGTTTGACGGATTCTATTACCCACTTACAGTGTTCCTGTGTTACAGCTCGAGTATGCAGTGAGATTCCTTGAACATTTCTCTATCCCTGTAGTAGGCACTTCTTGAACTACCCCTGCCCAATTTGTTTAACTTTTAAATGAAGCTTTTCATCCTCTTGCTCACTACAACATCGGTAGCTGCGCTTCCCAGAGTGGTAGGTTCTGATAGCATCTATTCATAGCGCAGTCGAAAACACAGTTTGATTATTGCGTAGGTAGGGATGTGGGCAAGAGATTGAAAGTGATTTGGGAGTATAAATGACTCAATAATCAAGTTAATAATACCTTCTTCAATTTAAGTGATATTTGAAGGTAACAAAAGAAGTAAAAGTTTTCGATAGTTCTTTAATTTTTTGCATGTTTCAGAAACGTGAGGATGCCCAGAGCTCGACAACCGATAAGGCAACCACCACTCCTGCTACAACAACAGCTTCAACAACCGACGCTACCACAACGTCAACACAGGGATCTACAACAACCACACCACCTCACTGGCCACAACCTTGTTTCGGACCATGGCCTTGTATGCTCGGTCCACACTTTCCTGGAGGACCATTTCCGCCATATGGACCAGCAGGACCTCACCCGGGCCCCTGGGCTCCTCCATTCAGACCAGCAGGTCCCTTTGGGCCCGGTCACGGACCAATGGGACCATGGGCCAGACCAGGTGGATTTGGAGGGCCCTGGGGTAGACCGTGGGGTAGACCGTGGTGGTAAAGCCGTCTCATACCAAAATATTGTGATTTCCTCTGCTATGTGATGAAATAAATGGTGAAATTTTGTCTGAAAAACACGAGAAATTGATAAAATTAGACACCCAGTTTTGCCTAATACAATGCAGGGTCAGGTGAGTACCCTTTAGGAGATAGCGAGCGTCTCTGTGTCCAGTGAAGGAATGGATGAATCCGGGTCTCAAGTTCTTTCCTATCAACAGCGGCGGAAAGCTTGTATAGGACTAGTGATGGTTCAATGGCTGGGGAGGCAAGACCAGACCAGTTTGTGATGATCTTCGCTTCTACCGCCACTGCGAAAACCTATCAAGAATTCTCCCAAAGCTTTTATTGCTTCAGCAGCCAAGAAATTTTTGTATGGTGAAGTACTGCCAACTACAGCCTCAATCATTCAGGTAATAATTCCGTTGCAACTTCTGCAGCACTAGAATAATTCAATTTTACCGGGAACCTAACCGATTTGATCACCGAAATCATTGTGCGGTACCTACTGTATCTTGGATCAGGGACTAGCGGGAAATCAAACTTCCTTGGCATTCGCATGGGGAGGGAATAAGTCCGAATTTCTTATCCAGAGCTTAAAGGAAGTGTTAGCGGACCAGATCTTAAATGAAGTGTTGTGTTTCCACTTTCTCATTGACAGTATAGAATACGGCCAGAATGAATTGGGGACAATGACTATTCCGGAGTCCGAGTAGGCTTAGTATAGTAAAGTGCAATTACCGTTAGTTTCAAACATTTAGGTAGTCTTTTCGTTGGTACTCCCGCAAGACTAAAACATTCGCAAATCCGCTGAAGTGGAACAGTGAATGGATTGGCATACCCAATTCGTTGGTTGCCATCTACTGTAACTGGGCCCCAGGAAGTTCGAACTCCTTCATCAAAGAAGGAATGGTCAGGAAAGAAAAACTGAACTCCGATTCTTTTGTAAGAAAGCACCAACGCACTAAAAATATGACTTTGAAATTTTTAAATCTTAATTCATAAGCGTCCATGTCCTACTCCCGACAAATCTTAGCAGCAGGTTTTATAAAAATTTTATGAAATTTTTAATTTATTTTAATAGAGTGAAACCTTTGTGGAACGATTCTCTCGTGTACTACGGGTGCTTTCTGTTTGAGTCATACTGGGTTGACCATAAGAGTTAGCAGGTGAGAGAGAAGCACCCCTTGCTATTTCCATCAACGGCATTTTAACAAACCCACAAGTTCCGGTTACTACGAGCTTTACTTTTAACTCTTCATGACTTTTCCGCCAGTGGCATGGTCTAATATGTACTGAGTATGGTGATGAACTTACCAATAAGTAATTTCAAACTGTAAAGGCTCCATCTCTCAATGTTAGGTTTGTTCTTGTTCAGATTGCAAGGTATTACCTATGCTCTGATAATACCATCTCTATCATAGACCATCTCATTGTGCTTCCCAAGCTCCTGCTAGAGCTTCTAGTTAGTTCACCTCACAGATTTTGGGGAATTTTCATTCTATACGACATCATGTCGTTGTCAAGAAAATTCAAACTCCCGCCGTCCCTGAGACAATACCTCCTAAGGGGCCGTTCCAGTGGTCAATTCTCTTAACCTTAACGAAACCTATTTTTTTAGTTCCAGGAAACAGTGATTGAAGGAAATCTGTAATTTTCATCAACCAGCTATAGAGGCCCACTTACCCAGAAATACTGTTTCTTGTACAGTTCGGTGGGGGTCTTAAAACAATTCCCGCTTGTGTGTGAAGAGGCTATGGCGATCGATCAGTTGACTCCAAATCTGGAGCGCGATTGCAAATCCTAAATCTTCATAGGGACAGGATTCAAAAGGGCGGAGGCCACCCTTATTGC